TGCTGAAAGAAGCATTTGAGACAGTCCTGTCAGTGAATGAATGAGTGAATGAATCAAACAGATCTCCAGCCCTGAATATGCTAAGCAAGGTAAGAGAAGCGTATGCCACATTTTGGATCTCTCCGCATAATTGAAGCACGATGTATCTTGATTTCACTCCATTAATGACAAACATGAACACAGCCAACTACTTATTTAGAGCAAGAGCACTAAATTAGATATGTTGCAAAACACAAGGAACCAAGTATTTTGTTTTTCTTATACAGGAGAGGAAACAATGACAGTGCAAACTACTTAGCAGTTGGCAGCATTAACAAGGGCTGTTTCAACTTCTGATTCTTAAAAAAGTTCTTACCAAAGTAAGAGTCCTTGCCTTTCTACAGAGTGGAACACATTAAAGAAAAAAGAAGATGACTTGAAGAAACATATTGAAGAGCAAGTACTGTGGTCATATATGGGTGGAGGGCAGTATTAAAAGCCACTTTTTGACACAGTTATTGGGAAAGAATAAGTTAAATTCAACCCATAATAGCTGTCATGCAGCTAGAACAAAATTTGTATTGAAAACTATAAATCACTGAAATCATTAAATATAGTCAGTGTTTTAAAAAGATGATAAATCCATATAGCTGAATTCTACTCTTAGTACTAAAATCAGCAATGCTAACATTCATCATTCAAGAAGGCAAAAGTATACACCTAGTCCTACTTCTCGAGGAACCCAAAATTGTAATTCAAGGTCTTGATTTAACACAACACAATACACAAATCCACATCAGTGCTACCCACACTGCAAGTTGAGGGGCTAAGAACTTATCATGACTCTTGCATGGAAAAGTGTTACTTGTAGAAAGAAAGTTAAATAATCAGAAATCTTTTCAGCAGCATCGCTGTATTTAAAAAAACTGCATTTTTTTCTTCCCCAATTGATCTTTTGGGAACATTCAACATGAACTGTTACTAGGAAGTTTTCAGGTATAGTCCTGCCCCCCCTTCCAAACTCTTTCAGGGCAAGGTGTTGTGGCATTAAGTGAGATGTTCTTTACTGAGAGGGTCGTCAGAAGCTGGAACAGGCTGCCCAGGGAGGTGGTGGAGTCACCATCCCTGGATGTGTTTAAAGAGCGGGTAGATGAGGTACTTAAGGATATGGTTTAGGGGGTAGACAGGAACGGTTGGACATGGTGATCTCAGAGGTCTTTTCCAACCGAGCGATTCTGTGTGTGTGTGTGTGTGTGTGTGTGCGTGTGTGTGTCTGAGATGTAACCATGAAGAATGAAAGTGAAGGAAATCACTGCCACAGGCTTAAAAGCCAAATCCCTCCTTTTCCGAATCACGAGGCTGCTGAGCAGCAGCCACAAAACCAGCTCCCCAGGAGACTCACCTTTGTGTATCTTGCCACAATGTATTTGGGATTGGTTTTCTCTGAAATGTTTCAGTACCTAAATATACTGCAAGAAAGCAGTCAACAATGCTGAATTTGCTGGATTAATTAAAAGATTAAATTAATTTGAGGTTTTCACATAAAGCAGTATCAATGCTGGAGGAAATTAAAATGCACTTTAAAACAGAAGTTACATAACCAACCAACAATATTCAATTGAATCTGTTATGGTTTTTCTTCTAATGAAAATATCCTGAGAATGGTGGCAGGGAATCAAAACTATGTCAAGGAAAATAATGTAGCTTACCTATTTCCCTATACGAGAGTTATTCTTTAAATACCCTTTCAGTAGGAAAGTCACACTGAAGCATTTCATATTTTTTACTAACAACAATTAGAGAAGGTTTGAATTAGTATTCCTGTATTTAAAAACTAGGCTTTAACAAGATACACTCATTTTCGGTTTTGTAGAGATAAGAGAAGTTCCAGTGCTGCTTCTACTTTTCTCCTCTTCAGTAATATAAAGGAAATTTAAAAGCTAAATGATCACTACTCTTCTCTATCCACAGAGCACTTCAACAGTGAAGAAGCTGCAGTAGCGACACTTGATGTTGTCAACCAAATTAAATGACACGTGGTAATCTTTATGCTCCTGCAGCCCGACATCCAGAGGCCATGGTGTTATCCTAACAAGGTCAGCCTACTTCAAAACAATATTTTTTTTTTCCTTTGCCACCACACCTTTCCAATGCCCTCCTTGAAGGATGCTGATGCTCACAGGTTTTCTTTTCTATTAATGTGAATGAAAAGGTAATTTGCAAACGGTGTCATTCCCCCCCCCCCCCCCCCGTTTAATTTAGACATAGGTTTCTCATGCAATTCTAGCTGTAAGTCTCAGCTTAGTACCAGTAAGCTGGTACTCATGCTAGGAAGATGTACAGAAATATGTACAGTGTCACCACTCCAAGCTGTACATTCCCCATCCCTTTTGGTCTCTTCAGTCTTGGAAGGGCTTCAGGCGCTTGTTACTGCAGCGCTGAGAGGAGGGAACACTTCTGGCTGTCACACACATCCATCACACACAAGTCACATCTGTTTATTTTGTTAAGAAATTAGTCCAGGCAAAACTACCAAAGACAGGCATCATCACTGTAAAAATTAACCATGTGCTGTTAAGTATTTGTCAGGAAACTGGAAGTTTTCTTGCCTTTACGTACAGTTTTCCCAAAACGGTCTGCCAATTCCATACATTGATTTTGGTCACGTTTTCACACCACCTGAGGTTTCTCTAGAAATCCTTCCCAATTTCAAGAGCCAGCCTCACTTACAGATTAACTGTTGCTGTTAATTGGCTACGAAAACATCATTAAAAAGACAGAAGTACATTTTGAATAACTGCCCATTACCTCACAGCAACAGAAGGGGATGCAGTCGGGCATCCACAAAAGAGCTCCTCAATTCAAAACAAACATTATAAAGAGCTTGAAGATATTTTTGTTTCATTTACTCATTAACTCCATCATGTAAGTTTGCCTATTATGAGCGTTTTCAATTTTGCCCTCCCCACCCCTAGTTTATGGTGTTAGCCAAAGCTGAGATACCTCAAAGGCGGACAAATGCTTTGATCCAGCACGGCAAATTCTGCAGAGTTACTTAAATTCACCCAAATAACCTTTCAGACTAAGATGGACAGCAGAAGTCTGTAAACAAGAATAAATTTATTTTAGATTCTTTGAAGATTTAATGATATACAAAACGTATACAGTATTATATCCTTATAACATTTTACCTTTCCCTGTCAAACATAAAACACCATTTAAACAGCTATTGTGTTCGTGCCTTAGGTCTGTATCTATAAGATACACTACTGAATAAAAAATTTATAGAGCTATATACTGCCCTTTTAATTAAAAATTACAAATTAGTACCTATGTAACATAAAAAAAATAAAATCGCAGCATGAAACTTCAGTTGGACAACAGTTTTTCCTTGCTGAATGCTCAACAATATTTGGGACAGTTAAATTACATTTTATTGGCATGAAGGTGCATTGCAATCTCCCGTACTTTACATAATGCTAATCCAACCCTAGTCTCTCTTAAATAAGTACCACAAATAACATAACATTAAAGATGTTTTCTACACAATTTTAAATACATTTAAAAATTATGTGTACATTCGGCTTTGATATACTGGTTTTACAAGATCTTTGGAAGGCATAACTTCTGAAGCAGTCACTACGTACGAGGAAAAGCACTTCCAACTTGTGTTCTTACAAGGCAACTTATTTGGACCAGTACATACTATTTATTCTATTAAATATGATTATACCAGTCTACAATGGCTTTAGGCCTCAGCCTACTGGCATCATGTACACACCTCACTTGGCCCTGTCCTTGTCAAAAGGCCAAATTAAAAGACATCTGCTGAGAAAACATTATCGGAACACTTCCAAAAATGCTCAAAGAGTACTCTGGCATTACAGAGGTAGGTGCTTTCTCCTGTCTTTCGCTGACTGACAGTAAGACAGCTGCCAAACAGACAAACGCTTTACCTTAAAACATCAACTACCAAAATCCTTTTGGTTGAAGGCATATTGCACACCACAGGACTACAGAGAGAAAATCCTCCACTAAACTAACAAAAAAACCCCCAAAACAAAGGAACAAAACCTTCTGTTAAAAAGCCCCTTTAAAAACATAATCTTAAATACTTGTTTTGACGTATCTTTCTTTTAATTAGCAAATGAAAGGTAAGTGACAACTTTGTGACACTCCATGAAGTTTGGGTGAAGCCACTGATTTGGTCACATCACTAGAGCATCAGACGAATAGAATTAGCTGAATCTGATTCTTTGGTGCAGCTTCCAGGCTGAATCGTCAATTCAGGGGAATCATCCTGAGGGAATATGATCTTGTCAGGTGTGTAATCATTCCTCTTCAGATCTGTACAAACAAAAGGAAGTTATACTGATTACTATTTCTTGAACTAACAGAATTGATGGGGCAGGAAAGTCTCCTAAAGGCTTCAGTAAGCATATGTACTTATAAAGAAGAATTCCTCAATATGCACCGTGTCAAAAAAGGATGTTTTAATCATACAGGTATTGGGAAGCCTAAAGCTCTGCTTTAAAGTGATGGAAACTTCAGAGTTACTTTCTTTATAGCTATTATAGCAAGTATTTAGTCAACTTTCCATGGAAATTAGGCCCTTCTAGGATCTCTTTTGATTTTACCAGCATTTACAACCCAAATTTAAAACAGATGACCTCACTTCATGTGAAAAACAACCTGCAAGAGAAATGTGAAACAAGCAGGAATCATCACAGTTCCTTATGCTGTTCTGCTAGAGTCTAAAAGTCCAACACAGAGAAACAATTTCAAGGTTTGAGATGAGTGCAGTGTAGTCCACGCCTGAAAAATAATTAGAATTGAAAGGTTTTAACAGAGTAAGTTTCTGGAGACCCAGCTATTTTTAAAACAAACAAACATCACAAAAAACTTGAAACACCACATATACACACTCAAACCCAACCCAAACTCAAAACAAACATAAGCACCATTTTGTTTAAAAAGCCTGATGGTTTGCAATCATCTTGACCTGCTTTTCCTACTTTTTCTAGGATCTTTATCATTTTTTTACTGTACCTAATGAAGTCTTGATCAATCACACAGAGACAGTCTTAATTCCTACATAAGGATTTTACCTTCTAACGGCATATAGTTTTAGAAGTAAAATTACAAAACTGCTATTTATGACATATACCACATTCATAGCACAACATAACTATTTCATTATCATAAAACATTTCATGACATGGGTGTCTCAGAAGAAGAAATACAGCAACTCTTACCAGGAAGTTTAAGCTTCCTGCAGAAACAGGAATTACAGTGATGCTTTGCTCTGAAGTTTTTTATTGCATCCTCTCCCAAATTGGCTGGACCAAACACCATATCGTATGACCTTAGAAATAAAGCACACATAAATATAGGTTGCATGTGTTCTCTGGTGAAATTTTTATAACACTCTTCTTTAAATCCTTCTTTAACCTTACCTTTTTTCTCCAGCTTTTATCACAGAAGGATCTGTCAGATTTTCTCCAACACCTTCAGACAGCACATGAAGAGAAAGTTAAATCTGATCCATTACATAAATGCATTAATATTGAAAAGCCTTGGCATCCTTAGCTATGACTTCTCAGCTTCTCCAAGAATAAAAGCAGAGGAAAAAAAAAGATATATGCAGTACCCTTTACCCTTACAACAAATTGCTTCTAAACAAGGACTTTGTACTTCTTAGATTTCTTTCACCTGCTTTCACCTCTGCCTGCAACTCCTAACTTTAGTTTTCACCTGTGAAAGAAGACAGAATTTTTTATGGTGTACATAACTAGGAAAATATGTATATATTTATATTCACTGTGTTGCTTAAATTTTTAATGCCATTTTAAATAGGATAACCATAGTTTGATTAACTAGACCAAGATGCACTAAATAGCGCTTGTTATTTACTACAGGTATATGAAGCCTGAAGAAAACGCTATCACAAGGGGAAAAAAAGCATGTGTATCTACCTTGGCTGAATCCCAGTTCCAAAATAAGGACATTACCTTGCAGATCTAGTACCAACAATTCTCCTCTTGTATACTCGTATGTCCAATGGCTGAAAGCTAGCATAACCTCCTCTAGCATGTTAGTTGGAATTATTTCATCACCGTTATTGTTGTTGTATTTTCTAAACTCCCCTGTCATGCACTCTTCGACTGCAAACCACTGGCCAGCAGAGTGGCAATATAACAGGAAAACTTCCAAGAACCTAGTAAAAAAGCATACTTAATGAAGATATTTCCAAATTAAATGGCAAATATATCATTACTACCAGACTTTCATTTTACTTACTAATACTTTAAGTAATTTGAAACTATTACACAAAGTAATTTGCATTATCACACTAGGCTAGAATCAATGCAAAAAGTATCAATAGAAAATACTACCAAAGATAATTCTCTTTGACACATTCATAATAATGTTCTGAGATGTATCTTCACAAATCAGTACAGATCTGAACCATCTGTTAACAGCTCTGTAGGAATTCTTCTATGTCAAAAGCATGCAACATAATGGAAGTTTAAATACACTCACCTTGGAGAGTATGGAATGGATTTGGGCTTCATTTGATTGAAAGCAAAGGTGAGCTTCTGTGCTGCCCTCTGCTGCTGAATTTCCTACAATTCAAAGCACGCATTTCATTAGCTGCATTATGTGGCAGAGAACATTAAAGGAGCCAAAAAGGCAGCAGGAACAGTAACTGTCAGTTCCTCCAAGACTGTATAACAAACTACTTGCTTTTCAAATTATGTTTACATTTTAAGATCTAAAGCTCTTTGATTAGGTAAACCACACTGGAGCAGAGATTTTAACCCTTTAGGTCACATGGAGCCCCAGACTAACCTTTTTTTTAATAAGTATATACTAGTTTTCAGGGGAGAGATCCTGTTTAACATATAATGCTTGTCTATGTTTAATAATTGACAAGGATAAAACTTACTCTTAAGCACAGGTGTAACACAGTGTCCTCCTTATAAATGCTTGACCAAGTATTCACAACTTCAGGAAGAAAAGACTTGATGATATAAAGATGTCCTGATTTCAGGATATCATATTCTGACCACGTGCATACTACTTTAAGAGCTCGACGTAAACCTCCTCCCATCTCCTCCTTACTTAAAAATTCAATTTTAGCACAGAGTCCCAGTTGCGACCAGGAAGACATGCTGTTGTTCAAGATGCTGGGAGAACTTTCTTCGAGGCGATACACAGTGACTGGTTCACCTACGTTACAACAAAAAAAAAGCAGTGACTGCATTTAATTTTCACAGTTTAAAATTAAAAGCACTGAAACACTACAGTTTCTTAGATTTCAGCATGCTGCAATATGGAGTTGTTACTAACATCCTGAATTAACAAAAATATTTAATCTACTCAATGGGAAGACCCCTCTCCGACCTCTTTCAAACAGCAGCAAAGTAGTACAGTACAGTAGTTTTGTCCCCCTAATTAGAACTACTAATGATGCTGTTCAAATAGCATTAAGAACACTAAATAACTGTTCGGTTACAACTTATATGAGTCCAGACAACTTAAAAAGAATTCTTCCAGAACAGCTTGTTATAAAAATGGTTAGTGCAATACTATCATCACTCTTATCACCATTTCTGAGGACAGCTACATTTAAATCTAGATTTCATAATCAAGTGAGCTGCCCCAGAAAAGGTGTCAAACTCATTTATATTTCTGAGTGCTTCAAGACAGACACCAGCCTTCTTTTAGTTCACCAAAACTTTAGTTTCACACTTGCTGTGAGCAAGTGTGAAATTCTGTTTGATCGTTCTATACTAGAAGGAATTTATACAGGGTTTACTTTTGGTTTTTTCCCCCAAAAGACCACAATGAACAAGCATCAGGAAGTACAATTCTTACCTCTTGGAGGCACAGGAGTGAATGGAATGCTCTGTGACAATCTCATCAAGTTATTTCTTTCTACAGCTAGAGGAAAATTACAGCATTCATTAAAGCTTATGGATCTAATAAGTGTTGTTAAAAATATGAACAACAGTTCATAAGAGGGACTGACCTGAGTAATAGTAATTGATATCCATGATAGGCTTGAAAGGAGAAGCAATGCCTGAAAGATAAAAAAACCAACCATGATACTGCCTGCTGCCTGTCCTGTGTATTAAAATTACCAAATGCAAAGAAACTTGTGAGGTAACTAGTTTGAAAAAGATTGACTGTGCAGAAAATTAAGTATCGTGCTAAGCTCTTCAGTACCTTGTCAGGGGGAGGGGAGAGGGAGGGAATTAAGAATTGTAGCACTCGATGGTAGGCTATTTATCAAAAAAGAAAAATCACAAAAATCACAAAAATCACATGTCCATTAAGTTTCAACTTCGTAGTTAAATACATTCTCATGCAACACCCAAACAATTGCTTTTATGAAAAGCTCCCAGCTTGTTTATAGCAGAAACAAACTTACCATCCAATGCATCTTCTTCAGACGGCCTGTGAAATACCAAAAAGCCCAGTCATTGCTTCTTAAAAACTTATTTTGTGTTCACCGATTTTGACACATCATCTTAGGTCACCTTGTTAACCTCACAGTTCTGCTTTTATCCTATTTATTCAAGGGCAGCACAGCTTTCTTAATTACAAAACAGTAATGAAAGGCTGTTAAGAGTAATCTCATGTTTTTAGAGCTATCCTTTAAATACCACCAAGTCACGCACAACATTATGTAAAGTTTGCATCACAAGAGCTCATTCCCACAGAGGTGCTTTAATTAAAACTTGTTCACAACAGCTTACCCTTCCGTTATCAGATTAATAAGGTAATGGTTTTAACAGTTAACTCCGGGGATAATTGTTAACAAGAGCAACGTCTGCACCATTTCAGAGAAGGTTTACAGTTTGAACTGTTGGGTAAAGACCTTTACCAGGAAGCTAGCTCCTTAGTAAGTGTCAACACAGTCATTTTCATTTAAAGGCATGTTTTGCCCTCTGACATGTGACCCCATTAATCTCAATAAAACCTGTCAAAGCATTCCAGTGAACACATTCAGTTATTTATTAGAAAACACCCTTAAACCTTGTCTTTTCATTAAATGCAGCTGAATACCACTATAGCCAAAGACAAGAGCCAAAAACAAATCAAAATATAGAAAAATAAAATTGTTCGTTAGTAGAAAGCTTACTTACATTTGACTACTATTTGAAGGTCTACCTTGCAACCAATCCTTTAAAACAAAGGAGAGGAAAAACAAAGAAGGTTTACAGTTTCATAAGGAAAACACAGTATATTTGACTGGAGGTAGGGTGGTAAGATGTTTTAACAGTACAGACTGTTTACAGGAAATACTTCACCAGGCTGCATGGAACTGCAGTTGAATGGAAAGACTCAAATACAACTGGGGAATGGTAACTACGGTAAAAGAACAGGTAAAGCTATATATTCACTACTGTTTCATGGATTATGTAAATAATTCTTTTCTTAAACAAAAAGTTGTGGTTTTTTCCATAAACAGGAAGCAGCATGTTTTCATAGTGAGAATATGAACAATATGTATGTAGTAGAAGACATGCACAACTTCTTCCCTCAGTCAAAACTGGTCCCCCTCTATTGCCTCCTTGAACGAATGATTTCACAAATCAGTATTATTCTTTATAATGTTTCATCTTCTTTATTTGGTCATAGTGTCTAGCTCTGCTTAATAACAGAAAAGGAGGAAACAAACCGTCAGTAACGCTGCTTTAGAGTCTACTTGCTGAGTGTCTTCACTCGATGCTCTTCTACTCTTGCTGTATACTACAAAAGAAAGAGACTCATAACTGCACAAAGAATGATACTTCATTGCTGCTTACCTGTTTTCTAATAGAGTGAGCAACTAGACAGCTTAATATGACTCTCATAAACAAAAGCCTGATCCACAACTATCTGATCTTAACAAGTTTCCAGCACAGTCCTGAGTATAACACTTAGCTCTTTATGACTCTAGTCATCTGTGGCAAATGTAAGGTAACAGAATTAAGCTGGCATGACTAGAAGAACCAAAATGAGACACAGGAGGAAATTCAAGTAGCATCATTCATGAAAAAATTTCAAGATGCTTAAACTTCTTGTGTTTCCTTTGTATCTTCTTAGAACATGCATTATGGTCGCAATTTAGAGATAAAATTAGGCCACCTGCAAAGACAACACACTTACATTGCTCTGAATGGACTCCCAGAGGGTCAGTGAACCCACCACAAGAACTAGACTGTCTTAGACCACAGTCAGTTTGAAGACCCTACAAAAAAAAATACACACATTAGTCTTCACTATTATTGTTTCCAACTACTACTGTTTTGGCACACAATCTGCCCAATTTTCTAAGACTATCTAGAATTCTTAAAACCAAACCAAACCAAACCAAACCAAACAACAACAAACTTCTGGATGTACCTCAAATACCTTGCTGCAAAAAAACCCCCAAGTAATTCAGTTAAAATGCTTTTCACAGTAATCATTATCTCTAGCATTTTTGTGTGCACATAAAGACTACTGAAAGAATCATCTTGAAAGAATTATTTTAAAGAGAACATTACAGTAGGATACATCAACAGAAATGTACATAACACTGGGTTTCTACAAGCACCAAGTTCAGCTATTCTGTCACACGCCTTTTTTAACTATGAATTCTCATTTAAGAACTGGGCTCTGCAGAAAACTAAGTTCACTTTGAACCCACTGAAAACAAGAACAAAAATCTAAGCAAGTCTTGCCACAAAAAACCCTACCGTTTATAAATGGAATTTCCTCATGGACATATTCTTTTCTAATTATGACATACTTTCCAAATATCTACTGAAGTGGAAAAAAAAACAAAACAAAAAGGGAAAGGCAGCTTCATCAAAAACTAGAACTACATGTAGAATGGCACAGCCCTCAAACATTCCTCATAACCAGCCTATTAATTTCAGTGGTTACCTGAATAATACCTATAAGATTCTGAAGAATAAGAAACTAGAACTTGGAATGCTAGATTGGTAACAGCTAGGAAATTGTTACTGCCCTTTTTCACCCTTCCCTCTTAATGAATACACCCACACACATCTCAACACGTACACACATGCCTGTATGCCCAAAACGTGCACGTATCTATACGTACACACATGTTTGTGTCTAAGTGTGTGTGTTTATATATATAAGAAAGACTATTTCTTTACATCCCTAAACAGAAATACTTCACTGGAATGCAACAGAGAGAATGCACCTGCTGCAAGTGTCTTCTGAAAACCCATTTTAAGGTCTATATGCATTTCAGTGTTCAGCATACATCTTCAGCATCTTAAAATCAATGACTGTAGTGCCTACAAGAAAGGTAAGAATCAAACCAGACCCACCAGTTAAGATGGAACAACTCTATTACTACGTGTCTAAGAACAGTGGTACTGTCAGGTTGTGCTACTGGAGTTTGCATCCCAATAGTACTAACAATTGGAACTATTTAGACCCCTGTTGAGGAGACATCCAGCTGTATTTATACAAAGGTTTAATTGGACAACTTCTGTTTGTTTGTTTCTTTTTTTTTAAAACCATGACCAAGGTTTACTTACAGATAACGATATAAGAAAACAGAATTTGCTGTGAAGAATACACTCAGTATCTGGTGAAAATAATGTCTCCATAAATGAAAACCTTCTTTACTTACTTGAAGTCTGGTTGTCTCTATGCCTTCCAGTATAGCTTTTTTGAAGTCTTCCTGTTGCTCCTATTAAAAACAACCAAACAAACAAACCCAAAGCAAATTGTAAATATTATTACCAGAAAGACACACACACAAAAAATGGTTTTGGTCACACATTATACCTATCAGAAAAGGCAACTCAGCAGAGCACTGACATTGCAAATGGTCATAATGCAATTCTCAAGTCAGATTTTCCCCTGAATGAGGTGTAACTGCAAATCCTCCTAACTTCTCTTTACTAACTTCTCTTAACAGCTACAGTGAGAAAAGTAGCTTTTGTATATCTACTATAGCACTTGGAGGACAGGTCTGTCACCATTAATCACTTTCCATTTAGCTATTTTTATTAGTGTTTAAGAAAACAGAGAGTATACACCATTTTAGTTTACGACAAGATTATTAGGAAGGCCTTTTCTTCTTGGAAGCATAATGAAAGCTTTCTGTCACTCTTTAAAATCATATACACTATCATCTTGCTCTATAAAAAAAATCTGAATCACTGAAATCTTCCTAAATGCTGATCTTGAAATTTATGAGTGTCAAACATTTCATTAAACACTAATTATGGGATATATAATTTTATCTTAACTCACAGCTGTAGTCATCTCAGCTTTCATAACCTCAGATCTTAATATTTCATTAGTATCATATTATGAAGCAACAGGACTTGATGTATAGTTAAGGCTGTGTGAGTTTTCACCAGATACATGTGTTTTTTTTAAATCATAAACCAGATACACATTCCTTCCAGGCTGCATTTTGCAACCTTCTTCATTATATTTGCTCTTAGACTTTTTCAAAACATATTGTGAAGTTATGGTTAAAAAAAAAAAAATCCCTATTAACATGTTTGACAGAAAGTCTGCTGTGCTTACCTCAATATCGGTACTTCTGTCTTTAATTTTGCTTGCTGCCTCTTTAAACCGCTGTAACTCCATGCTGTCTCTGTGACCTTCGACACAGTGAATTGAAAAAGAGTATTTAAAATCAAAAAGCAACCTCCAACGTTCTGACCATGCCGATAGTTAGCAAAGGGTTACAAACCATCTATATAAAAAAAGCTTTTATGAAACATGGACAGTAAGAATGAAGAGTATGTACTAAATGGTAGAGGTGTCAGAGGACCATACACTAAAAAATTTGCTTCAGTAAAATAAGTATAGTTAGTACTCAAAGTTATTAGTGGTGAAATACAATTAAAGATTGGGTAAGAGTTATACAACCACTGTCCATTATTTCTGTTTAGTCTTGCTTTCCAAATTTTTAAAAAAAAAAAGTTTTCTTTTTTCAAACCATGAGGAAATCATAAACAAATAGCTAGTGAGTGTACAAACGTGTAGATAGGCTTCCTACACATACACAAATCTAAGAATGCTAGTGCATGTTGGTAACTTCTTAGAACTCCGAGTTTCACAGCAATAGAATAAATCCTTGTCTAAAGATTTAGATTTTCACATCCGGAACAAACCTTTGGAAAACACTGTGACATTCCTAAAAAACTGGGGCAAGACAACACCTCTGCAGGCAGGCTGACAATTCTAGACTGTGATCTTCTGCTATACATTAAGCGTACTTAAAGCATTATCCACTTCATAGAAATCAGTTAGTAAACCCACACCTGTGTTTTGCAATGAATCTGCCACTGTTTTACCATTCAAATAGGTAGGTAACTAACAAAAAAACATGCACCTTTTTGCTGTTAAGCAAAACTTGAGGGGAGGCATAATGCTGTATTTAATCAACTAGCTTTGGAAGCTTCCAAAATGACTACCAAAAGATATGTTAGCCTAGGCAACAGTGGAAGATCCCAGTTATAACAGCGTTTAGAAACATAGTATAGGAGGATCCCTCAGCTTGACACAGATACCACACAGATATTTGTCCAGTATTCCATCAGCCGAAGAAGTCTTCTGTAATTACGTCAAGAAATAGACAATATTTTTAATTTGTGCAATGAGAAGGTAGGAGCTTTATCATGAGTCGGAAAAGGTTTGTCTACAACGCCCATACCAAGTTGTAGAGCTGCTAATTGCACAAAGCTGCTAGACTTAACAACTGGCTTACGTTTTTCAGAAAAATATTGTCTATGTGACAGAATTATAAAGAAATTATAATTTAAGTAAAAAAAATTCAAGCAACATAGGGAAATTAGAGATGTTAAAAGCAAAAAAAAGCAGAGCAAAATGGGAGAATAAAGTCACCTGCAACCGGAATACACCCAAAATACTATACAATTCTTGATAAGTCAAACCTTGTGGCTTAGATTTGGTCCACAGTTTATGAAGCAGTCCCATAAGGATGTTAGAACATAAATCTTGGCTTTGTAGTTCCATTGCATGGATATGCTGACTTTTGGAAAGTTCATCTTTAATATTCAATTTTCCATGTTTCCAGTTGACTGCTGATGTCAAGTTGCCAGTTGACAAAGAGAACTTCGCTTGGGGGCTGTTCTTCGAAAAGTTGACAGAGGACTGGTGATCACATTTGTCAACTCTGCAGCTGTAGTTATCATTAGTGTCACTCTCATCATGAATAAAACCACAATTAATGTATCCTCCATTTTCAACACAAGGTTGGGTGAAAGCAAGGCAAGCAGAGCCAGAAGCAAGAGGATAAGAGCAGCTAATAATGACTTCAGGACATTCAGAATTTACTTTTTTATACTTACCCACAAATGCACCAAATTCTACATTATTATCTCCTTCTGTAGCCTTAGAGAAAACAGTCTCTTCATGCTTTTCTGAAGAATCCAGCTGACTTTTGCAACTGGGCCGAGATGGAGTGCTAACAAAAAATTTAGCTGTTGGGGATGCTACATGTGGCATGCTGTTGGATGAATTGCCTAGTTTTTTGCTTTTACTAACAGATTTTGAGATCTCCGCAGCCTGTATTCGTTGGCGAAGTTCTGGAGGGGAAACGGTATTTGAAAATAAGGCACTGCCTGAGGAACTTGCCTCTTGAAAGTTTATTTCTTCTCTTCGGGGAACCGAAGCCAACTCCTGACCAGCTGTCTTATGCTGGACTTCTTTTTCGTCACGTATAGAAATGTTACAGAGTAAAGCATTATTACTTTCAAGGCCTCCTTGCGGAAATGAGCCGAAGACATTTCCAATGCTGTGCTTTTTCCACACAGAAGATCTTAGAGAGCCGTCTTCAATAAGGTTTTGTGCCAAATGTTTTGAAATGCTCAATTCCCGTGTGATTTCATTATGAACCTTGCTAGCCTCTGAAGCCTTCTGTGCAGTCAGTGTTTTCAGAGTATCCACAGTCAGAGCAGAGAGATCCTGCAGGTGGCCAATCTGTGAATCTAAAGACTGTAATGACCGTTTTATGTAGTTGACACGATCACCAACTTCCTTTATCTGAATGCACATTTGTTCCACCCTAAGAAAAATCAAATTATGAAGTAGCTATGAAAGGGATTTTTCTCAATATGCAAAAGAAACATCTCTGCAATCCTTTCTGCCCATTTAAGCAAAACACCTCTGAAATGTCAAGATTGTATACACTACAGTGTCAGGACTGTTTTGTAATACAACCTTTGTACGTACTTCTGAATCACGGAATTAACATACACATCAGTAGAAGGCCTACAGCACTTTTTCAAAGTTATCAGTTTATTAAAACATCATGAGAAAATAAATAATACAATTGCCTCAGCTTACTGAGTGCCACTACAGATGAGGAATCATCAATCGCATTGCTTCTGCATAGCAACAGAAAGACATCATCTAAAGTCTGCAGAAATACTTATTTTCTTGAGCTACATTTTATGCCTTTTAAAGCACATTTTAAAACCTTGGAAAAGTTTAACCTTTTCTACTCAGAAATTTTTACTGTTAATATTGTACCGTTCAAATGTGACGCGAATCCTCTCCTCACTCCCAGAATGAAATTTATCATCCTTTTCATTGAAATACATCTCGACACACAGCTCTTCAAAATCATGAAGTTTCTTTTGATCTTCTTCTGTCAGGAAGAGTTCTAAAGAGAGAGAAAACAGATAGGAAGATGCGTATGTCGTGAAGTACTAAAGGTGCAGGAAACTAATAGCCAAAACAACTTTACAAAAGGTGTTAAAAATAAAATAAAAACAAACCAAACAAAACGAACAAGAACAAAAACCACCTAAGACCTTTCCTTCCTCTCCCCTTATTAGAAAAAAAGCTGAAGGTCAAAGATTTCCGCTAAAATAAAAATCAAAACAGTAATTCTGAGAGCATCTGTGCACAGTGTTATCATTTCTTACACTCCCACCCTCCAATCCCTTTTTCTTTGAGGAAGAAACCAGATACCCAGCTTGATTTTATCATCTGCAGAATCTTTTTTTCCCTCTCCTTTTTAGATTTTCAAAGACTTTCCAGTAAGAACAAATGTTTTCCAGAAAGAAAAAAAACCCTATTAACACTAACAGGAAATCTCATCTCATTTGTTTGTTTTTGTCACCAGTTATTTGACTGGAGACTTCTAGGGGCTGTGCATTATACCCTTCATAAAAACACTGCGACGTGGAACAGAATTAGTCTTATTCAATATTAACAACATGGAAAATTAACACCTACTTTGATTCTCCTGAGAACATACATAATAACCAAGAATATAGCACTTTTCTGACAGTTTGCTTTAATCATATCAAAAAAGTTACTGCAATTTTTTGTACAATAACTGTTCATACTTGGCCCATCTGAAGCCTTGTCTGTCTTTCTTCTTTTACATATACAACAGAACAGGGAAGCCATGTGGCTAAGAATAATAAGTGGTGGAGGCAGAACAGGTTTTTCATGGTAGGCCATAATGAAATGATAGCGTTGGTACTTCCACACAATGTTTGAAATTGCCTTGACTTGCAAATACACGTTGCTGAAAGGGAACAGAAAAGCATTAACACATCAAGGTGGTTTTTGGGTTGGGGTGCTGGGAGGGTGTGTGTAGGGGGGGTAGTGGGGCTGGTGATTTGTTTTTGGGGGTTTTTTCCTGGATTTTTTTTAAACACTTTGGGAACAATCTTGAATTCTGAAGCTAGTTAAGTAAGAGACATATTTGTCTTTTACTGTAAAATTATTTATGTGGAAATTTGGAACGCATTTAAGAAAACACCGTGATCAAAAGCACGGAGAAGGTTAAAAAATCCACTGATCTGGTAACATCTTAGTACTTTTCCTCAGAATTAAATTACATTGAGATCAAATTTCAGGTTTGCCTAACAAAATGAAACAAAAATGTTTCTAACTAAAACCAGATTTTTATAGCAGACTATATTAATTCTGCAGTTTGCCATTCTTCAGTGCTAGCGAGCTGCTTATTCTCATAAACACACCACTTGCAGAGAACTGTAAAAGATAATTTACCACAATTCAACTCGACCAACCAGAGAACGTTAAATGAATTTAGGAACAACAGCCAATATACAGATCCAGCAACAAATTTATTTTCTAACAAAGAAAAGTTACAAAACGCTTTCAAATTCTCTTAAACTTCCTATTCCCCTAGCCTCATGGATGTGACACATAACAGTCACATCACAAACCTCCCTTCTTAGTCATGGGCTTGCAGTCAGGAAGACAGGAAGACCCAGCCTTAGAACCTGAAAACGCTTCAGGCAAATAGTATTGCTTTGAACTGGCCTCAGTTCTTCTTATCTTGTCTTCTTACGGTGGTGAAGCAGAAACTTATCAAAGGATTAGCAAAAATTAACAATTATCCACTTACTTACTTGAAAAATGCAATGAGGAGATTCACCATAATTATGTACTGTACAAAGAGGTAGACAGCTTGAAGAAACGGGGTCAACCATGTTCCTGGGCCACAGAGATGAGCAACTTTTTCATCAGAATTATTTGCACATACTGTGTTGGGGAAAAAAAGACACACAGAAAATACAAACAACTTTTAGAATTCCCAGCAGATACAGATAGAAAAAAACCAACAACAACAAACAACAACAAACCCCACTCACTTATGAGTGTGCCACAACCAACCATCATGCACTGGTTCTGCAATTCAAAATGTCCTCATGCATTTAGGAATATGGTAGAAAACTACAGCAGACAAAGTTTCTGGTTAATACCATGAAATAATCATATTATTGGATTTAAAAAATAGCATAATATACTACCAGAGCCAAAATGCTGGCACGACAGCTGTGGGGAAAAAGTCCAAAATCTTGCTAGAAATGGCCTTGAGAGAAATTGTGATTAAGTAGAGTTTTCATTCTAAGCCATTCAAGCTTTATAAATTACAATGAAAAATCCACATCAATAAGTTATACAGCTGCAACCAACAACAAAGAGATAATCCAGCAAACAGAATCAATGTCAGCAAGACTGGGCATTTCATTTAATGAAGTTAGAATTTCATAAGACTTTCTCAAGGTCTTATCAGAGTAAGTTTTCTCCTTACTTGCTGCAAAATTGCAGTGTCTTACCATCAATTTCATAGGCATACACTTCACCAAAAATCATCCAGTATGGATGAAACACAATATCTCTAGCAAGAGTCCAAGACGGTGCCTCATGAGGGTACAATATTGCCTTCCTGGGAACACCAAAACTAAGTAGTACAAGTGCCATAATCACCACGATGTAAAACATGTTGGCCACCTGTTAACACAAAAAAAAAATCAGTTAACCCACAAGGTCAAAATTATGATTTCACGATTTAAACACTTCTACACTGACAGTGTAAGCTTGACAAATTCTATGTATCGTTATAAGGAAGAGAGTCTAGGACACTTACATTTCAGTCAGAAAATTACGTTAAATAACAAAACCCTTTTAAAAAAATAGGGGGTTTTTCCCTGTCTTTTCTTAAGGCATAGTTACTAGGCGAAATGGAATTGAAAGTATTTCCTTTGTAACTCAAATACCTATTATGTCTCTGACATGTAAGAATAAAACAGACCGGAGAAGGAATATTTGACAGCTTTTTACTAATACGTGACAGAGACAGCTCCATAATAAAGGAAGCCTTCTCATCAGTGCTTGTTCTGAAATCCAGTGGGTTATATTCTAGCTAGCTAAGATTTGTGGCTAACTCTGCACACCAAGTTGTTGATCTATTACACCAGGATAAGCAACCTTTTTCTAAATAAAATTTTGAGAAGTGTTGTAAATGTATGCAGCAAGAAAAATGTACGTCAGTTGGGGAAAAAAACGCTAACAAAAATAGTACTCACCATCTTCCCAATCATCATAACATAAGGGCCAGCCTGTTGATTTACGGCTAGAAAATCCAGTAATCGCACATACCAAAAAATGATATTGAGACAGTATGTTATTCTTCCAGCAACAAAGACATAGTTCTCTCTGTAAGTGTTTTCACCAAAATTCCCCTTTGCTCCAAATCTTAACGCAAACCCAATGAAGAAAGTGACAATGGCAACCGTGTCACTGATATTGAAGTAATCACTGAACCAGACTTTAATCTTCTGATTAATCTTCCCAGCCTCTGACATAAAAATCTGCAAGAAAAATAAAAGTCAGGTCTGAGCACATTTACTGCACATGGACCAACACTGAAATACATGAATCAGCAACATTTCTATACTTGCAAAAATAAAATATCTATTCAAATAGATAACTGTTTTACACTGAGTAATCAAAACCAGTGTTGACCTGTGTGAGCCTCACAGCAAGGACAAGGAAGATGTATGTTTCCTCTCTCAGAACAATTTATGAAGGAATTTTGGTTTGGGGTTTTTTTGGTGTTGCGTTTCTTTCTTTTGAGGCAGTTACTGTTACAAAAATGAGTCCTATTTTCTGCCCCTTCAGTTGGGCCTGAGGTACCAGGTTAATGAACTAACTTTCTCTCTCATTAAAAATTCTTACAGAACTTCTCAGAAGTCTCTTGCTGACCAGCAACGTTGTACCTTGATAACTACCCTGTCTCGATAAAGCTTTTTTTGTTTTGTCATCTTGGTCATAGCAGTAGATATCGACTGACACTAATAAACAAATACGTATTTCACCCCTCAGGGAAGCAAGGCTGTTCGTTTCATTACAACAGGTAGACACTGAGTTACAGATACAAAAAACAAAGAAATGGACTGGGGCAGAATTTTAACCAAAAGGAAAAAAAAGAAAAATCAGACCAAGATGTCATTTGTCATTGCCAGTTCCTTGATCCTCCTTTTAGCACACCTCCATCTCTTCCACATCGGAAACAGAAGAAAAGCAAGCTAAGTTCAAGCAGCAGGCCAAGAAACACTGCTATCAAAACTAGCAGCCTATACCAAAGTTTAAGCTAAAGGTATTACACCGCATACTCTGACACCCGAATTTTCTCAGCTCCTCTTGTTTATAAATGCAGTCTAAAGCACACTGTTTTAATTGACAAAGAAAACTAAAACCCCAGATCGTTACAGGCATACCTCACGAATTTTCTCAATTGCTGATGTGAAAATGTAAGCAATGACAATCCATTCTTGAACGGACGGTAACTCTTCCATTTTTACAAGGACAACAAACGTGTAGAGCATGAGGAATCCTAAGTATGCCAACTAAAAAAAGCATTGAAAATTACACATAATTACTGAAGTTTCCTTTATAGATGTGCATGGAATCTTTTGATGCGGTATACAAGAAAAGTTTCAGGTAGGATTATGGTATTATATTCACCCCTTTAACAAGACAAGTTATTATTTATAAGGGGATACAAACATTTTCTTCTCAGAAGAGGAAAAATAGCTCTAATAAGCTACATCTCATTAGCAAAGCTTTGTTCTTATTACAACTATTTTAATTTAAACAAAGCTGTGCATGAACACTTCAGCCTAATAAACGGTTATAGAATTTCTGCTAGCAACTGATGAAATTAATTACTCAGGCAGAACAAAAATGCTAATGCTAATTACTTCCTTGACTAAAAAAAAACCAAACCAATAAAAAACTCCACAAACTTTCTCAAAGACAAAAGCATTAAACTTAAAAAACCAAAACAATCAGACAACAAAAAAACCCCAGAGCCCTGCATGTGCATATGTAGATTTTCAAAAATCAAGTGCATCTCATGTCCAGCTTAGCAGGGCAAGGGTTTTTTGGTTTGGTTTTTAAAAAGTGCTCACACTTTGATTCAGGTCAGAGGTGTAAGTGTTGGGAAAAGAACCCAAAAATCAATAAACGTTACACAGAAAACTCACCGTATTAAACCAAAACTTCACAATCGGTGCATGGTAAAATGCATAAAATTTCTGTGTAATTGGTAGTCTTTTAGGTTTTGCTGGAGACTCCATATCATGCTTTTCTAAAGTACTGTCCAAGATCCTTACTTCTTTAAACACCTCCTAAAATGAAAGGCCTGTGAACTTCACATACAGAAATACATGCTTTTGGACACTCATTTTAACTCTTGTTTTAATTTAAAAATGTAATTATTTATTTTAAGTTAGAAATATTGGTTTCAGTATTTCCCCTGCCCCACATTACCATAGGTATTTCATCTGCTGCGTTCTGGAAGTTGTTTTCACTGTCATCCATTGCCATTTGATGTGCATCTTGAGATTGAGGAATATGTGACATTTCAGCCTTGGTCTTATATTCCAACAACAGTATAGCCGGAGGAAGTAAAATACTCAGTATCACCTGGAAAAGATGAAGATTAAGTGCAAATAGTTGACAGCTACATTAAAGTATCAGAATACACCAACATACAAAATATCCTCCAAAAATACATTATCCAAATTCCACTTGCCTTTTAGGGAAAAAGAAAAAGTAGAAAATCAGTGTTGTTATTACTTATATACACACTTAAGAGGCTAAAATCACATCTATAGAGTGTTCCTTTACTTGAAGATATAGGAAAGGGGAAGAATCAACAAATTCCAAAATTAAAAGCTACTAGAAAGAATGTACTCCAAACCTAAGATCCAGAAATATTCTGTTTACACTTTAGTTTTTAATCCACTACCAAAATCTCTGGAATTGTGTACAACCAAGGTGCATTTGAAATGCATATAAGACTGGAAGTTACGGTTGTGGGGTTTTTTAGGGGGTGGGGAGATGGTTGGTTTGGTTTTGGCGTTTTTTTCAACTTATGTTATAAAAATAAGCTAAAGTATGAACGAAGAGAGTAAGTGAAAGCTATTTATTGTCATTAGCCTGTTACAAAGCAAGCAAGAAAGTGGTTAGTCAGTTATCAAAGAGGATTTTAGTAGGTCAAAAGTTAAATGACGCTTGTAGATATTTTTGTAGGAAAGTTGTATTTCATTATACTCCTAGCAACAGTTAGGTTTTGGTACACTATCTCAAAGAAATATGCAACTCCCATTTTAGTTCAGTTGTTCTGTATCACAAAGGGCACCACTGGAAAACCTCTCTCTAAATTGCCTATCCTTGTTTCATTCTGCGCTCCGCTTTTGAGCAGTTTCTTCCTCCAAAATAGGACAAACACAACACTTTTCTACATCAAGTCTTATGTGCTGCCTGTAAAAAGGCAAAATGCATGAAACTGTAATATGACACTGTTTTCTGTCTGTTAATTTTTTTACCACTATGTTTTTAGTAGTGGATTAGTATTCACGTGATCTCTTTAAGCCTCTGATTAAAGGCTACTTGCCTGGTTTTTGCCTTCTATATTTCTGTACCTTATTTGAAAAGATAATAGAGTGTCAGAAGAAGAGTTAACAATAAATACTTCCAGTTTTGATTATGTCATAGGAGACTGTTTTACAGGATTTATTAACATCAACTATAGTTGTGAAAGCTTAATACTAAAAGCAATTAAACACATGCATTCCTTTCATTCAAACATAAATTCCATTGATCCTTTTTGCACCAATGAAATGCAACAACGCTTACTTTGTACCATGAATTCTTCCTCATGTTCAGCCTTCCCATCCACATATCTGATAACAACATCTGTGTACAAGTGTGTGCTACAAATGGACGAAGCCTTGATGATACCGCTAGCTTCAGACAAGTCGAGTTGCTCCAGTTTTTAAGCTCATACGTTAGCAATTTCATTGCCATAGTTTCATCTTGTCGGAAGGACTGTTCTAAGAGTTCAACTGCCAGTTGACCAAACTCGCTAGAATGAAGAAAAAACAACAAAACAAGATCTAGTATCTAGAGAAATGACCTTAAGGGTAGGTCGAATTTTCTTGTACAATCAAATTCTCAGTAGCACAACTTGAACGGACTATTACTCGTCCCTTCAGATATAGATACAGTAATTTGTAACTACAGCATGCAACTCTGTGACCTCCATTAAAAACATATGCAGGTTACAAACAGCTATTAAAACATGCAAGAAAAATTACACGGAAGTGTCACATTGTCAGTTTGATTTAATTATAAATCATGACTTGTAACAGCTCTCAGGAGAGATCAGTATCTAAGATAAAACTTCTAGCACGCCACTCAACCGTTTTTGCAAAAAGGGATTGTCTTTCAAGTGTGCTAACAGAACAGTTTGGGTTTTGTTCTCATGTAGCCCACTACTTCCATTGTAAATGTCAATAGGAGATCTTTAATGATATAAATAAAATTTACTTGGAGTACTGTTTCAGTTCTTCTGAAGTATCATCAACAAGGTCACTTTGTTTTGCTTCATATGCCATTGAACGATACACTTTGCAAGCAACTAAGGCTTTTGCCATCGACTCCTCCCCGTGCTGCCAGAAGAAAAGGGCCATCTTCTGCCTCTTCATTAACACCGCCCACAGTAACAGCTCGTTGAGAGGGTAAGCAAAACGTCTTGTTTCAGGATCATCTATGTCTACTATTTCATCTTTGGTTCTTTTCTTTTTTCCCTCTTCTGCACCAGTGTCAATCTTTAATAAAAATCAGAAAGTTACATTTTAAATCTCTAGACTTGGTCATTACATAACCTGAAATAAAATGCTAGGTGATCCAGTATCAAATTATATAAAATTATAAAAAGAAAAATGAATTTTTGAAGACTTAAAAAGCAGCCGGAACTTCTATTCAGAAACTTCAGTTGAGTCCAATTCATTTTAATAACTGGGAGATCAAATTACTTTGATTTACAGATCAAAAGCAGTAACTAATATACCTACATACAAATGAGGAAGCTCATGGAAACTGCTTGCAGTAACACATGGCCAAATCTTACTCCATCTACAAAGCCATGTGAGTCCCCCTCAATACTAGAACTGTGCCAAAGATAAGCTTTTTGATCCCTAACATATCAAAGCTTATCCAGCTTATCTTATTAGACAGAAAGATAGACACTCTTTACAGAATCCTATAAGCATGCTAGACAGTGAATAAACAAGTACAGAAAGCAAGGCTGAAATTCCAGCTTTACCAAAGTCAGTAAAACTGCTGCTACTCACACTTAAGAGGCACTCGGATTTCAACTAGGTTCTCCACTCTTACCTTCTCAAAATAAACCCCACCATGCTCCCCTCACACATCTGTACCTTTGGTTTGTACGGCTGCGCTGTTTTGATGAAGTGATTATGGCGCATTTTTTCTTTCTTGTCTGCCCTGTTCCCAAAGGATTCATGGCTTTTACACATCTGAGGAGTGGTATTTGAAGGATTTCGCCCAGATCGCTGTACCAAGAATAAAGGGAAGGAGTTTGGACTGGTTTCTTTACTCTTACCTACTACACATTATGAAATCATCTGTCTATAGCTAGATCCTTCATCGAGCAATTAGTTACTTTGCTGCTGAAACAGTGATGAGCTTACCTAACAGCAACAACCAGAACGTTCACAGCGTATTTAACAAGTTTTTTGTTTGATTTGTTTTGTTGGTTTTGTTTTTATTTTTTAAGAAGACACAAAGTAGGCAGTTACACTTGTTGCTTTACAAGGACCCCAAGCCCTGGTGAATCTGCATGTTTAGTGCCTACTCTTCCCCTATCAGTAGGAAAAGAGGGAATAACAGAGAAGGAATTTAGATCTGCTCGAATAACGAGTAGGAGAGCAAAATCTTTGGTTTGTTCTCAATTCCAAAACAGCTACCAACTGTCTTCATAGGCCTTACTAAAAGAACCAGTCCATTGACAAGAACAAAACAGTGTGAACCTCATTTTCCTCCAAAATACATAGGTTTTTTTAAATGACAATATAGGAAACAGCATGTTCTGTTATCCAACTGCCACATACCCGATTGTTCCCGCTGAGACTGTTGTATATAGCTCTAAAGCGTTTTCTTGTATAAGTGCATCTATAGGTTCCTCCCATCAGATATTCAATAACCAGGCCCACATCGATCAGGTTGATTTTATACCCTGGAGGCAGGTTTCCCTAAGAATACAAAAGGTATTTTTAGTTTTTCAAATTATAACCTTAAATTTGCTTAGAGTGTTTCTACACATTGCAACAAAGCTCTAAATAAAAAAAAAATTAAAGCCTTAATGAATTTTAAATATATATCTATCTACATAGCACAATATTTTCCAGTTTCAAAAAAAGACAAGGTTTACAGGTTCTTCTCTGTATGATCTCCTTTAGCAGGGTAGATGTTCATTCTGCTGGGGGGTGCAGGCTATTTTTTGTCTGTTGTATAAAATTACTCCTAGCTGGGACTATCAGCTTTAAATCCGGCCAAAAAGCAAAACGATCACAAGTAAGATGAGAAAGACAACACTCATCGGATTTAACATCTTTCTGGCAGCAGGGCACTGTATTGCAGCAAGTACTGCAAAGAACAGAGTGACTGCAGAGGTAGCTCATTGTTTACAATAAAACCTCGTTAATAAACCTAATAGTAAACTGACAGTACAACATAAGAAATAATCAAAAAATGAACACGGTTAATTTGGCAGATTTTAAAATCTATAGCATACCTGTTTGACATCCCGAACAAGATG